AATAAGGCATAAATAGAAAGTAATGAAACAGAGCGATTGTAATAAATGAATAAAGCATTTTAATTCAGCTTCATGTGAACAGATTGGTTGCATAATTGTTTATAAAAAGGAACCTTTTCCTAATCTGTCTGCTCCTAGTTCAACCTTAACTGCTGTTCATAAGATAAATACTAACATTTTAGAACTCTGCAGCAATGAGAGTATTTCCCTCTCATTATTAGGATTATAAACTCGCCCTTATGAGCTCCTGACCCCACTGTAGAACAAGTAGAGTGAGATCAGGGCTTTTCGCTGAGATCACATTGCAGCCATTAAAAGACGATGAAAGCGTATTTGTAATCACCTGTTGCAGGCCAAAGATATCGTGTTTAGTCCGGTTTTTATGCGTTGGGAAGAAAAAGGCTCTTTGTGCGGGAGAAAGGTGAAGAGATTGGTCCTTCCTCTGACACCACAGGTAATGCATGGTGGCTTTGTTTCTGTAAACCATCTGGACATCTCATCTTTCTCACCACATCGAGAAAAACACCAAACTACTAAAATAAAGGTGCAGCTAGTGGATGACCTGCTGCTGCCAGACAGCAGAGGAGTATAGAACTTCCACACATAGGTGATACTGAAGTATCCTCCTCCTCATACTGGGTGGGATCTTTGCACATTTCTGTCTCATACCTCTGCTCTGCCCTGAGGACGCATGTCAATAAAACAAGGTTTTCATTTTATGCTGTTTTCTAAGCTCTGGTTTTAAAAAGCAAACCAGTCCAAGCAGAAAGCTGAGCGTCACCTTCCACCTGACAATGAAACGCCGCATCAATTATTTCTAAGCAGCAGGAATGCTCTGCAACGCCCTGATGTCTCCGTCAGGCTCATCTACGGCGCTGACTGGAGGAGAGAACCACCTGGAACGGACGCCGGAGCAACACGGGGGGATGGAGAGAAAAAAGAACAACAAGCATAGATACTGTTAAAGCTCTCTGTGTCTACACCTTCAAGGTCTATCTCTCCGGTTCTTTTTCCAGAAAACAGATCATTCTGGACAAAGTCTTTAAATAACAATTCATAAACAGGAGACATTAAAACAGATTTTGATAGAAACTGTAATCTTACTCAGATCAGAGAAGTTGCTTAAAGTTACAGAAGGCAGCTGCTCACCAACCGGGCTCACGTCTCAGGAAGTGGCCCCGGATAAAGTCGTAGGGAAGCGGCTGTTCCAATCGTTGCATTTCCGAATTCTCCCGAGTGGTGCCCGACTTTACACGAGTGAATAAAGGGAATGCGATTGGTCGATTTTCAAGGGGGCGGGATTGTTGTGGCAGAAGGTTCACAAGCAAGTTTGGTTGTGGCCGGTTTGTGGGAAGCATCTTGCTAACCAGTTAGCATCTTAGTGCTAGCAGGTTCCCAATGGGAAATTCCATTGGGACCAAGTAGCACTAAGGCCCCGTCCACACGAAGTCAAACCCTGGCCTAAACGCACAAATTTTTCACCAAACCAGCCTCTCATCCGTACGAATCCAGCGTTTCGGGGGTCTGTAAACGATCTTTTTTTTATTCAGCCTTCAGAGTGGGAAGATTCTGAAACGCCGTTTTTGCGTTTCCATCTTTAAGCTCTAACCGCATTTTTTTTTTTCTTACACGCATGAGTCATAGCGTTGCCTCTAAACACGCATGCGCGACACAGTATCACAACAACAATGGCGCCGTACTGTGTTGAATGGTTGCTGCTCATGCTACTCACCCTGCTGTCGGGCTTACAACAGAATCTTCTTCTTCTGGAATATCTCCAGGAAGAACAGAGCAATATCGACCACATAGTTCAGCACCTGAATTTGACTGAACCACCAAAATGGACCCGCAGGGCAACCATGTATAAATATTACTGCGCATGCCCAACATTTCTTTGCCTATTTTTGCTTTGGCACCACAGCGCCACTTACAGGCCTGGCATACATTTTGCAGCGTTTTCATGCATTCATGTGGACGATCACATTTATTTTACGTCTCCGTCTTTAAGACAAATGTTCTGGAAAATATTAGCGTTTCGTGTTCGTTTTGACTTCGTGTGGACGGGGCCTAAATTGGTGACTTAGAAACGACGCTGTCAAGGAACGCTATGGACAGCGGAAACATGCAAGAGGAGGAGAGTTTAGTGTCGGAGGTCGTGGATGAGTCTCCTCCGTCATCCATTTTTTATTTAGAGGAGGAAAGCGGGGACGAAGATGTTGTGGAAGAGGACGCCAGGGCGGCAGAAGCTAGGTTTGGTGTAGAAGGCTTCCAGCCGTACATGTTTGAGCCCTCGCCTCGCAACGCTGCCAGTTCTGTTAGCTCTACGCCTGCCGAAGACACAGACGTCCATCCCCGTGAACACTGGGACGCAACTCAATGGGAAAGGAAAGGATTCTGGTTTCAACCGTTGCGTATATTAGCTGCGACGTATGAATCAAGATGCTATGACCGAAAACATTTTATTGACAGATGACCGTTGATATATGATTGGCTGAATTTAGGTGTTCAGGCTGACGTAGAACTAACTGGCCTGCAGAAGAAAACGGAGAAAAAACACAGATTTTAAGACAGGATTTGGGACAGTGTGGTCTGATAAAGAGTAGAATTATATACATATTTAAGCCAGAATGATTTGATATTTAAATATGATTTCTCTACGACTTTAATGCTATTTAGAAAGAACTATCCAGCCAACAGTATTGAACAAATTACACAGCGATGTGTTTTTCAGCCACTGTCTCCCAGTGCTTTCTTGGTTTAATCACCTGTATGATGTGTCGATCAAATGCCTTTAACTCTGGCATAATAAGTCGTACCGATTTAATTCATGATGGATTGGAGAACGAAGCTTTAGGACTTTTTTTTGTTCAAAAATGTTTTTGAAACATCAGCATTCTGTAGGAAAAAAAGAGGGAAAATGGCAAAATTTGAAAAATGTGTAAAAGTTTATGTTGAACTATGTTTAATAAATCAAAAACCATAAAGGATACATAAATAATTTTCAGGCTGTAGGAATCAGCAGGTGTGATGAAGAAATATGCCAACCCTCATGTTTCTACCAAAAACTATTTCTCCACGGTGAGGATCTAGGTTTTAAAAGATTTCAGTCAACATTTACCAACGCCCGAACAGCTTAGCTAAACCTAAAAAAATAACAATAAGTGGGAATGCTTTAGCATTGATAATAAAGAGAAACAGGAAAGCAATAAGTGAGAATGCATCTATTGATGAGCGGCCATGGGAACTCTCCTCTGGGGGTAGGATGTGTGCAGGCCAGAACTGTTCACCGTAACTAGTAACTAGTTAGATTTACTACGTAACATTTAATTGAGTATCTTTTTGAAAACAAAAAAAATTACTTTTGGGAGTACCTTTATAGCATTTTCCTTTTTCCTTTTACTTAGGTAAAATTTCTGGCTGCTCCACCCATTTTAACGTCACTTAGTGAAAACAAGCTTGTTTTAAATAAATCTAGAATAAATAATCCCTTTAATGTCTCACAATGTGGATCTTAAACATCTATAGAAATAGCAGAATAAGTGACGGAGTTTAAAAGCAATTAATGTACTGTACTGTGTTTTAGAAATATAAATACAATGCAAGAATAAATCATCCCTATACAGCTGTGGACATTTTTACAGTAGTGGATATGTAAAAATGCTCCACTTTCTTCTTTTTGCACTCAATGCTTGTTGGTTAAATGTTATTTTCCATCTGCTGAGTCAGCATCGTCATTTGGAGGTCAGCTGATAATAAATTAAACAGTATATTTAAGCGATTCTCACTTACTGCATTGATTCATTTTATAACCCAAAAAAACATTAAATCTGTTCCTCTGAACACGGTATCAGTTACTCAGGACTTAAGCCTTTTTACAAACTACTTTTCCACTTTTTGTCATTTAAATATATGATGAAGTACTGCTACTTTCACGTAAGTAAAGTTTTGGGTACGCTACCTTCCTCTGCTATTTACCACCAGCTATATGCGCTTCTGTCGGCTCAGACCGAAAATGACTCTTCAGCTTATTTATGAGCAGGAAAACTTATCTAGAACCATCTCCACTATGAAAATGATGATGGCAGCTTCATCATTATCCAGGTCATCTTGAAAACATTCTTCTTCCAAATGTTGGCTACATATTACCTGTTTTTTCTCTGGCCAGAACAAATAGAGGTCAACAGAATTTGATTTTATTAAGTTGAATCAATTGAAAAATAATAAAATTTGGTGTATTCATCCATTTTCCATCAGGCATTATGCCAGCTGGGGTGATGAGGGGTCCTGGTGTCTGCAGGTGAGAGGCGGGGTCCATCTTGGTCAGGTCACCGGTGCATTCATTTCCTTTTACAATTAATTTTTAAGAATTTTGTTGAACTGACTCAATAAAATTACAGCTTGCAGATAACTGTGGATTTAGCTCAATGGAAAATCTGCCATCAGTTAATCTGAGTTAATCCAACGAGTCATTTTTATGAGTGTTAAAAACGTATTCAATGAAAAGTCTCCCTCCCGTTTGAACCTTGAATTAAAGGTGGTTTGCTCCGTTTAATGTGCGAATTTAACGATGATATTTTAACAACCAGCGAGCTCAGAATGGGATTTTATATAAAAGCCAAAATCCACCGCCTCCGTGTTCCAGACGGACCTGGAGGTGTCTAACGGTTAGAATGGCCTCTCTCCAATCAGCCCTTTCTTTCTCCATCTAGCCGTTAAACCCGGTCTAACTGCCAGATCTACATATTTAATCCCCTTTAGCTTGAATTCGCTGCTCTGACAGCCTGACGGGAAATTATTTCCTTCCCGTTACTCAGCGGATCAGAGGCGGATCAGAAACGCATCGGAGACGCATCTCACAGCAACAACCAGCCGCTGCTGCAGATCAGCAATATCCTGAAACCGCTCCATTTCAGATCAATCGTGCGCTTATCTTTAGGTTTAAATATTAAACCATCTCTGCATCAGGAAGCCCCCCCCCCCCCCCCTCCATACATACATACCAGCCGTTTCCGCCGCTTCGCGCCTCCGGGCTGATTTGGGGCTAAAATCGATGCAGTTTCTCTGTCTGACACCGACAGCAGCTAACAGAGGAAATACTAGCATCTGGGTCCAGAGGAGGAGGTGGGAGTGAAAGCAGGCAGCAGCCAGGCAGGGAGGGGGGGGAGGCTGACTGGGAACCATAGAGAAGAATCTACAGACGCCATCTGCTGGCAGGCAGTGGAATTACACCCAGATGGTAGATGCGCTGTGAAGCTGTCAGGGGCTGGGGGATGGGAGACTACGTCATCATGACGATTCATCACTGCATGATGACCTTGGGGATAAAAATAAAAATGGCCAGAGCTGCAATATTGGGGTTGAGATTGAACATCCAGCAGTAAAGAATAAATAAAAACACAAGATGTTTAATTTTATAGCATTATGACAGTTGGTCAGAGAGCTGAGGAAGATGGGCTCAGTTTTAACCAGCAGGTTGGTCTAAAGCTGGGCTTCCTGAAGTCTCTCTGCCTCTAAACCAACTCTCCTCAGAGACTCCGAATATTTCCTCCTTCCCAGACTGACAATGTCCTCGATCTCATCCGCCAGATCCTTCCTCCCACTTTCAATCATGGCGGCCACAAGCCTGGACACCGACCCGGGGCCCGCGTTCCTCTGTCCCCGGGCCCAGTGAAACAGCAGGTCCAGCACCAAGGCACCCAGGTTATCTCTGGTGAAGAACACAAAACAACAGACGCTGTCTCATAAAGCTGCCAGCTGCAGAAGGATGGCAGGAAAAGACTGTCATTAAGAATAGAATAGAAAATAATAGAATACACTTGAATATACTAGAAAAAAATAGAATATACAAGAATAGAATATACTAGAATACAATAAAATAGAACAGAATAGAAGAGAATAAAACTAAAGAGAATAAAATACAATAAAAGAAGAGAACAGAATAAAATTAAATAGAATAGAAAAAAAAGAAGATAAGAGAAGAGCAAAGAATAAAATAAAAGAGAATAAAATAGAATAGAAGAGAATAGAAATTCCCTTTTTATCCCACAATGGGGAAATTCTGGTGTTTACAGCAACAAAAACATTAGAAAAAATAGTCACACAAATATGGACCTTAGAAAAATGTATAAGAATAACATAATAGTGAAGAGTTAAAAGATAAACAATAAAATACTGTAAAGTGCTTTAACAATATAAAACTGGGGAATAAATAACCAATATGCAGCTATGGACATTTTTACAGTAATGGATATTTGAAAATAGCAGCAACATCAGAGATGTGCAGAATGACAGCAGCAGGTTATTTAACTGACTAAGGTAGAAACTGAGCAGAATCAGCATGAATGGAAGAACTGGTTGAGGTTGCTGGGAACAGTGGTGGTTCTAGAATCTTCCAGCTGCTGGGAGTCTTCCTGCTGCAGTGTTTCCTGGACGGGGCCGCCTGTGGAGCTGGTTGACAGTTGCCTTTTGTATCTATGCTTCTTTTTCTATGTCTGCTTCTGTCTCCTTGAACCCCAGTGGGCCTCAGCAGATGGCCGCTCACACTGAGCCTGGTTCTGCTGGAGGTTTCTTCCTGTTCAAAGGGAGTTTTTCCTCTCCACTGTCGCTACAAGCATGCTTAGTGTGAGGGATTGCTGAAGAGTCAATAAGTCGATGCAATCAGCTGCTTTTTTGGAGCTCTACTATGCAAGCTGTAAGGCGCAGCAATGTGGACATTTCAAGGAAAAGTTTGTTTATTCAACATTTAATTGTAAAATGCAGAGATGTTTCTATTTTTCTATAAATATGTTCAGATATTCCTGCTAAGAACACATGACTCTCTGACTTTTCATAATGCATTTTTTTCCACCTACGGATGCAGCATGAGTGGGTTTTTTGGGCGGAGGCTGAGATGAGCAAACAGAGTTTAATCTCTTGCAGCGTCCCAGATGGCTGAATGATGGCTGACAGCGCAGATTAAAACAATCCTACTGCTGCTTCTCCTACAGACGCATACCAACCACGTCCATCTTGATCCCGCAGAGGGCTTTTCTTCACCATGTTTGCACACTGATGACATGATGCAGTCACCTTTACAAGCAAAGTAAATCCAGGCAAGATTTGGAATTTTCGTTCTCATTATTATTTTAAAAATCTGGTGTCTAAAAGTATTAATACTCTGTTTTTTTTTGTCTCATTGCAACTCAAAAGATTTTGGTTTCCTATCAGAATCTTTTTATATCAAGGTTGAACATAAGCATAAAGTTCAAGGTGTGTGAATAATGCAATGAATTGAACACTGTAAGGTGAATGCATATCTTAATATGCATATGTTGATTAAAATGATTGTATTTTTTTCTCGTTATTTAAGGATCAACTCAAAACAATCCTGTGGCTGATAAATAAAATACTAACATGGCAATTAAAAAAAAAATGAAAACAATCCACTGGACTTTGTTTCCAAGTTTGAAGACGTCCCATCCAGGAAGCTTTTCTAATTCAAAATTTTAGGGATAGTTGTTGTGGTAATTATATATAACATTAAGATTTTACATAAAGACTGAATTACAAATACGTGTCTGTTAATGCTATAGTATTTCTCTATTTGCAAATTGTGCCTGAATGATGCCGTATACTTTTATACTGTCTGTGAATCAGCCTTTAAATCTGACAGATTTACAGTAGAACTAAATTAATGAACCAATTGAATAACTCCACAGAGCTTCAATTTCTACACCAGCAGAATCACATCAATTGGTAAAATAACAGAAATCAAGTTCACATTTTGCTTCTTGCTCTTAGTTACAACAAGAATCTGATATAAGAACAGATTGATGCTGTGAAATCACCCGTGAAACTTCTTCCTACAGCCAGAAAACTGCTGGTTTTTGCAGCCTAATGCTGCACAGGGAGGCATTTTTACTGCACGTCTCCATGGGGGTGGGGAGTACCAACATGGTAGACAGTGGCTTCACTTTTCAGGCTATTAGCAATCCAGTGAATAAATAGAGATCAATGGTTTAGACACATTTCCAAACTGCATTGATTCCGTCTCACAGATACTGACACCTGCTGGACATTTAAAGACATTACAGGCAGCTGATTGGACAGACTGAACTGTATTGATTTGATGACATAGGTCAGAGGTCAGCAACCCGCGGCTCTTTAGCGTCCCCGCTCCCTGGAGCTTTTTCAAAAAATGATGAAAATCGATTTTTGTTTTGTTTTAATGTGGTGTGGAGGAGGTCAAACTAAAATTATTAGGTTTTCCAATGCTGTAAACATTTACATGTCAGTAAAAAGAAACATTTAAAATGCAATTAAAAGATTAGGTCAGCTGGCAGGAACCTCAATCACTGTGTTTATGTCACACGGGACTCTATTAGCTCCAAAATCATTTCATTGAAACCACAAGGAAATAATTATATTATTATACTATTTATTATACTATTTTTATTTTATGTTATTGAACACAGGATCACAGTAACACTGTAAAATACTTTGGTTACGTTAAACTGCATGAATAGATAAAGTGCGGCGGCACCATGCTCTTACTGTGAGCTACAGGCAGGTTGCCATGGTTACAGGTGTCCAAATGTTCAGGTGCGCTCTGAGGTCGTGGAGATAAAGTCTCTAATGAGCGGACCAATCAGAAATGCGTTTCTGTGCCATATTACCTCCTCGTAGATTTACTAGTGTTCTGCTGCCGGCGGGATTCCTCCACTAGCTTGCTTGGTGTTGCCATGACAACGTAAATTATGTGAACTTCTGTCGATGGGGTCTTAAAATAATTAAATCAAAATCACAATACATGTAAGAGTAAAATAAAAAAGTAAAAATCATTACCCAAAATATTCATGAGAAATTTCTAAATTGTGCAAAGTATTTTTAATACATTTTCTCTTTCTCGTCACTAGGGGGTGCTGCAGCACCGCCACTTCCTGCGGCCATGCACCACAGCGTGATTAACTTTTTAAATCCTCTAAAAGCAACAGATTTCCATAAACAAACGATGTTTTCCTTCCCACCTGTGTTTGTATTGTATGCGGTCCAACTCTTCATAGCTCATCCCGAGGTTAATGCCAATCACACGCCAGTCCTGTCCGATCTGCAGAGAGATGGACAGCAGGTTGGCTTCGGTCAGGTAACCGCTCTCTGGGTCGCCCAGGTTCAGAGGAGGATACTGCTGTTCCTCCATGTTTAAGCTGTTCTCCAAGCGTAGAGCCTGAAAGAGAAATTAACAAATTTTAGGCTCTGATGATGTTTTTCAAGAAAGCAGCCTAATAACTGGAGAAGAGTTAAACCTCATAAAGGCTTTAATTTTATTGAAAAAACTTAAAGTCGTAAGGAAGCGGCCGTTCCCTCGTTACATTTCCGAATTCTCCCGAGTGGTGCCCGACTTTACATGAGTGAATAAAGTGAATGTGATTGGTCCATTATCAAGGGGGCGGGATTGTTGTGGCGGAAGGTTCGCAAGCAAGCTTGGTTGTGGCCGGTTTGTGGGAAGCATCTTGCTAACCAGTTAGCAACTTAGTGCTAGCAGGTCCAATGGGAAATTCCATTGGGACCAAGTAGCACTGAATTGGTGACTTAGAAACGACGCTGTCAAGGAACGCTATGGACAGAGGAAACATGCAAGAGGAGGAGAGTTTAGTGTCGGAGGTCGTGGATGAGTCTCCTCCGTCATCCATTTTTTATTTAGAGGAGGAAAGCGGGGACAAAGATGTTGTGGAAGAGGACGCCAGGGCGGCAGAAGCTTGGTTTGGTGTAGAAGGCTTCCAGCCGTACATGTTTGAGCCCTTGCCTCGCAACGCTGCCAGTTCTGGTAGCTCTACGCCTGCCGAAGACACAGACGTCCATCCCCGTGAACACTGGGACGCAACTCAATGGGAAAGGAAAGGATTCTGGTTTCAACCGTTGCGTATATTAGCTGCGACACATGAATCAAGATGCTATGACCGAAAACATTTGATTGACAGATGACCGTTGAAATATTATTGGCCAAATTTAGGCCCCGTCCACCTGGCCTAGATTCACTAATTTTTCACCAAACCAGCCTCTCATCCATACGAAGCCGGCGTTTCGGGGGTCTGTAAACAATCTTTTTTTTATTAAGCCTTCAGAGTGGGAAGATTTTGAAACGCCGTTTTC